AGAAAAGTTCACAATAAACTGTATTTTCTAAGCAAATACGATACTCCAAGATTCCAATCGTAAAGTGATATCAATGAAAAGGTTTACTGTCCTAATTTTATTGATGCCATTGTATACATGTATTGAAATTTTGCATTATACTTATGAAATCTTGTTAATGAAAAAGTAGGAGAACACATTGTGGTACAATGTACAGAGCCACTGTTGAAGCATCCATGTTCCATATTAAAGACTGCGGTTTTATTCCTGCCTCCACATCTGATCCAGTTTCCCACGAATTCGTACCTTGGACAGGTTGCAGATGGTGGCTCAAGTCCGTGAGGTCTTGCCACCAGCGTGAGACCTGCTCTGGGTCCCAGGTTCCTGCACAGCCTTTTTCAGTCACCTCTGCCATGGGGATCAGGGAAGTGAACCAGCAGATAGCGAAAAGCAGAGAGAGAGGCTGATTTTCTATCCTCCTTCCTTTTCCACCATACCTCTTTTCTTCTCTCTGCCTTTCAAACTAAATGGGAAAGCTTTAAAAATTGAAAACAAATTTGACAAAGTCATCGTATCATCACTGCAGGTATGGAAGTGATGTGTGCGTTGTATCTTAATTATAAAGCCTGTCACTTGAAAAACAGGTACTGATGTCTTAAACTATCATTTGTTTTTCTCAATTCTCATGTTAATGTGGTATTAATATAAAGAGAACAGATTCATTGTAATTCATAGCTATAAATTCTCAGAATATAATGATTCTATCATTTCCAAATAAGGAGACAGGTTTATATTTTTAGTTCTTATCTATTGTTTCAGTGTATTAGGGAAATAAACCCAATCAAGAGATTTATAGTATCATTTATTTTAGTAAAATGGGTATTTCCTATACACATATGCATGTTGAAAGTAATGAGAAAAGCCAGGGGAAAATTTGAAATATACTTTTACTATTTGTAGGTAGAATAACATACAGAAATGTTCTGTGAAGTTGCTGAACAAGCAAGAATTTTATCTTCGCGTTGGATAATCTACTGATTAAAAATACGTCTCTGCATAGGCAATCATTTGTGTCTGCAGCCTTGGGCAAGGTCTTTCCATACATTTCAAGTTGTACTTTAAACTTTGTGCCAAAAAACAGGTAGCAAACATGAAGCCATGTCTCTGTGATCTTGTTTATGAAAAAACCTACCAATGAAAGTTCTCTGAAAATTTATTCCTGTGCTGTAAGGTTTCAAGAGACAAATAAGCAATTTGCTCACCAAGAAAGGGGAAAATGATCAATAAAACACTCTTTATTCCTGGTTTAAATTCATTTTAGCAATTCTAGTATTACCCAGTTACATTTGTAAAATTCGTTTTACAGCAAGAATTAGGACTATTACTTGCAGATAATATGAAAGGTGGAAATTATAACAAAATACACAATTAAGAGATCCTTTTATAAACAGAAAGGCAAATACTGAAAACATATTTGGATGGACCTTAAAGAGTCTTGATTATCTGTTATGGTTTATAGCAGATACTTGACAATTCTCAAAAAAAGCACATCTCTGAATAAGAACATTATACTGAATAAAACTTACATTACCATCTGCCAAATTAGTCACAGTTAACTACATGTAACTGCACCTTCACATGGATCCTCTTCCGTCTATCTTCGTCCACCCCTACCCACACACACACATTAATTCAGCAGATGCAAGTTAAGATACTCCTGTCTTGTACAGATCATGCAGGCAAGGAATGAGAAGGAAACACTGACCTGAAGGCTCAGTGCACACAGAGGTAAAACATGCAAACAATCATTTTTAATGAAGGGACGTGTTCCACAGTGGACATGCAACTAGCAGCGTAGAGGTAGAGGAAAATGCAATTTATTTAAGGAGATGAATTTTACAGGAAGCAGATGTTCATATTTATTTGAGAGGAAATGCAAAGTTATTTTAAATTAAACATTTATAAGGAAAAGGCCAATTATGGGTATCAGATCAAAAAATGCTTCAACGGAAATAGAATAGTTTCAGTGTTGCGAGCAGACATCTCCTTAAGTTGAAAACATTTGTAAAGTTAACCCACTCTGTAAATTCTAGGACAGACTGTGATCTAAAAGGGAAAACAAATATTGCTTTTTATTATTTTCTACTTTCATATTTTGACAATTCTTTAAAATAGCTTCTTAAGTTGCAAATACTGTGATTTTCAAAGTGCAATTAAAATCCCACCATATGTTGTGTATCCTGCATCTTCTATAATTTTACTAATGTTTTACATTTTAGAATGATTATAATATACAAATTCTAAACTAATTTTAACAGTCTAATATTTAAAAAGGAAAAAAATTAGTTCAGAATTTATATATTATAATCATTCTAAAATGTAAAACATTAGTAAGATTAACACTTCTCAAATGTACATTACAGCACTTTTGTGTAAATCTTTTAAAAATGAAAATTGGTTTACTTTAGTTGCCAAATTGGTAGGAATTGAATCTAAAGCTAGTTGTGATTGTTCTAAGCTTTATGCAGCTACCTTTGGTAGAATTGAGTATAAAATATTGGGAACATCTGGATGTCTTAGCAGACAGTTTCACAGTGAGCTATTCCTCAAAGATGTAAATTAACTATTTTTACATGATTGCACTATGCTAGATAATATATACTTGGGACAAAGTTAGATATATGAGCATATAAGTTTTGCACAGCATTAAAATTTTAAAAGTATTCAATAGACAATTGTAAAGCAGAAAGATGTAGACAATGGATTTCTGTGGGAAAAGAATTTACATAATATAACACATTATCTACAATGTTACCAATTGCAAAACTGTAGATTTTTAGAACAACTTTTGTGTTACTACGTTTTTACAAACATATTTGACTGGTAAAAAGTTAAGAAATTAAAATCCTCAAATACTTATTAAATCTAGATAATTGTCACACTCATAATCATTATGAAAATTCTAAAGCCGGCTCACATATAAAATCCATATGGAAAAAACAAGATTTTTTGAAAAGGCATTCATTTTCTAGTGCTTTTTAGAATAGAAATGCAAGTTTAAGAATTAAATGGTATTTTTTAGCAACAGTAATGGAAAAGTGCTAGGTTGGCTCATAACAGTGTTGTCTTAGGAGTTGTCTGTTTTAACGTATGAAGACCTGTAAGAGACTGCTTTCTCAGGCCGCAGGCAGGGAGCTGGATGGGAAGTGCGGACACCAGGATTAGCACTGGCACCCATGTGGGATTCCAGTGCGTGCAAGGTGAGGACATTAGCCACTAGGCTATCACGCCAGGCCCTATTACGATTTCTTGATCAGTAAGCAAGACAGAAGTTAGGAAAGCAAAGTTTTTCCAAATGATTTTTTTTTAAACAACTGTTATATTTCCATTAGTAATTGGTGAATCAGAAATACCAATAACTTCAGTATATTTGCAATTTTCCCACAAAAAAATTTCAAATAATTTTGTATACAAAGAAAGAAATACTAGGAATGATTAAGTTTAGCTTTTTATGGCAAGTGTGTGTACAGTAATTGATTGGGCTCAAAGAATATCTTTTATAAGTTATTTTCAATGCAAAGTTTATTACCATAATTACGATTACTATTTTATGATACAGTTCCATAGGCTCTGAGATTCCCTGAATCACGCTCCAAGACCCCTCCCCCATTGCTAACTTCACCTATAATTACAATAGTGTAGTTCTTCATAAATAGTCAAACGTCCATCATTATAGGCATGGAGAATGGCAAGGATCCAGTATTCTATTGTCAAGATATATTTCACAGTTTTAATGGGAGTCCAACTTGGATCTGGAAGCAGAGATGCATACTGCATTGTGTCCTCACATCTGGCTATGACAGTCTTCATTACACAGTTACTTACATCCTCTGAACTGAAAAGCAGGAAAACAAAATCAATAGGAAGAAAAGTACACATTTTCCTGTCCTCTCCTATTTCGTGGAATGTGCCTTCTGTTTCATCCTGGCTAATGATTCTCTGTTCAAACGTGTCCTTAGCCTAGTCCACCATCTTGATTCCCCCAAAGATTCCTAAAATGTTTATTTAAAGCTGTAATTAATGGGAGAACTTTACATTATACCTAAATTAATGCACTGTCCTAATATCCACTAGGTGCTTCCTAATACACTATTAATGTCAGCAGCCAATTATTTGTTTATAAAGCATAAATGTGATAGGTGTCTGAAATATTTCAAGTTTTTGTCTATAGATTTAAAATAAAATTATTAACTCAGAAGATAAATGGCTTTATCAAGATGCAATGTAGAGAAATTTGCCTGAAACTTCTGTAAACAGAACTCAGGGGCATTCCTATCTATTCTATCGGCATTTAAAAGGATCATATTTTATTCATATAATGCTCCTAGTTTTGTCTGCAGCTGTTATTTAGAAGCAGTAGAGACTTTTCACTGAAACAATTAGCTTTAGCTCTTACAGGAATTACCATCTACAGAGTACCTAGTGATAAAATCAGCCATTGGTCAAAGAGCTGTGTGCCAACTGCAGTAAGTAAAATCGAACTGTAGACCTGTGGTGACACAGCTTAGAACCCTGCCCCAAGGAGAAGAAGCTGCTAACCAGAAGTACTTATGAATAGATATTTTGCCCTTTAATGAATCTTCACTTAAAATGTGTAGTGAATATTATACAATCACAAAATTAGAAGAACACTTAGAAATTTGTGACAGAGCATTTTGAGTACTGAAAGGGAAATCAAAAAGATAGCTTCTTTCATCAACTGACTTCCCTGCCCAGAGGCAAGTCTGACGACTTTGTGTGGAGAAACTGAAGTCAAACTCAGTTCTGTGTGACTGAGTGAGGATAAATAAATTGGAGTCTGGGAAACGATGTGAGAGCAGAAAAACCCATCCTTCATCCTCTTAGTGTCCTGGCTGGGCCTGAGAAATTAATATCTTCATATTAGAAAAGCATAAAATTTTAGCTAACACTAGATATTTGGGCCTTTATAAAAAAAAAGTACAGAAAGAAAATTCTGTTCATTATATACTGAATTGGACAAAGGTTAATATATTGTAAAGAGCGAACTAACTCATGTGTATAGTCTGTATAGTCCCTTGAGGCTGAGGGTGTCCCTGCATTTCCCTCTCCGATAGCAATAGTGGCTTCCATCCACGAATTTCACATTCTACTTTTAAGAAACAAAGTCAAAATACTTGCAATACTGTTTTCCACGTGTCTAACTTAAATAGATGAAATGCCAGAAAAAGTGTGTATCATTTCTGAGATATTTTGAATTTATAGAGTGGAATTCCAGAGAGAAGGCTTTACAATGAAAAAAATAAACCCTAAACAAACTTCATGAATTTTTGGCTAAATGCAAACTTTTTCATGAAAGCCTAGCAGATAAACTAGTGAGACTAATGTAATATAGTATTTATTATTTTATGTAAATTATGAAAAATTATTAAACTTACCTGATGTTCAAAAATTATTCAATAGTTTATTTCTGTAAAACTATTAGGTCAATGCGTAGATATTTTTATAATGCTTTGTACCATTTTACCCATGATATGCTCTCATTCTGAAAAAAAATGAAATCATTAAGGCAAGCTATATCTGAAGACAGAACTTCTTTACAAGATCATTAATTGCCTCTTACTGAAACTGCTCTTTGTATGCAAAGGCTCTTCCACTTGTTTTTGTGGTCAAATAAAGGGTGGGCTACACTCATGGGGGAACCAGCATTTCATTGTTTGGTCAGTATTTCTGAAGTACATCTTAGCAAATCTAACAGCACTGATTCACAACCAAATAATTTACTGTCATTGCACTAAAATCTCTATCAGTTTGCACTGTGTATCAAGATTGATAATACTTCATTTTGTTCTAATTTATTTATGTGTATAATGAAATCATCTATTCACTAGTTTATCCTTTTTCAGCTGACAACCTCAAAAAATACTTTGCTTACATAGTTTGAAATATTTCAATACATACAAACTTTCTCTTACATGTAAATTTTAGTTAAGTCATTAAGCTATATAAGAAAAATATTCTTAAGAAAAATAGACTTAATGTATCAACTTTAAAATAAATTGATCTGATTTTGACAGTGTTATAAGATACAAAGCAAAATTAATCTTGTCATCAGTAACAATGACATTGTAATACTATATCTCCTTTGGTAATAAGCACATTGATTTATTAGTGAATCAGATAACATAAATTAGGTCTTAAAAGCAAAAGTGTAACAATAATAAGCACATAAGATATTCAGAATCATCAATTATACTAAGAATGCTGGAATTGTTCTGCAGTTTTTATAGCTTTTCAACATTAAAACTTAAAAAAATCCCATCTAGTTACAAAAATGTTGCATTCTTAAAATATAAAACAGTACTCAAAAGAAGGATAATTTCAAAGAACTGGAAAGCAGAAAAGATCATTTCATGATGCACACACACAGTATTCTTCAGAGATAAAGTAATTTTAAATGCGATATCACTACATTATCATTTCCAGTTTTCAGCTTCTATTTTGTAAAATATTTCAACATTAGCAGTCAAGAGTTATAATTAAAAAATTATTTCCTGCATGTAAGAGTTCACTGATGCTATAGCAATTAATTCCATATGAAAAATATTCAGTGTTTATCACCTAAAAGAATGAAATAATAAATGTATGCTTTCTCAAGCTTGCATTAGACATGTAAATCCAGCTAATATGAAAACTTGAATATTTTCCAGTGGGGACTTGTGAACAGGCTCACTTGAGTCTCCTTTACATAGGAATTTGATGAAGATTGGATTCACAAAACCGTTCTATTCCACTAGCATTTATGTAAGATTCTCAAAAAGTTTTTCACATTGGGCTTGAAAACTTAACTAGACCATAGAAAATTGTTTCTCTTTGCAAAAAGTAATAGGATTGTTAGACCGTAACCATAGTTCTTAAGGTTTGCTAAATTTTGGTGTCCCATTATAAAAAGCAGCCTTCATCTAGCCTTATAAGGAGGGAGAAAGTAATATGTTTAAATCCCTGCTTAAAGTTCCTTTGTTTGAAAAGAATTTCTCACCAATTGTACAAGTTTTCATCCATATAAATTAAGAACTAGCAAACAGGATTTTTTCTTTATATGTAAAGGATATAAAAGAAGTTTGAGGCCAGAATTCATAATTAGCCTTCACCTACTGCTTTGAGAAGGTAATTAAAAGGATTATAAATATCATGAGCTACTCCACTGGGAAACCGACATTAGCTAGAACCTCTTAGATCTGATACATACCATGTGTAGTTCTGGAACTCAGCATCTTGGCAGGATCAGATGCCCTGCCCTTCACGCGCAGGATTGTTCAATCTTCACTAGTGCATTCACCATATCAAATAGTTAAAGTAGCCTCTAATTTAGGATATCAAGAGAATTCCAGCTCTAAACAACCAAAATAACACAAATATAATTTGGTAAACTCCAGAAAGAATCCTAAACTCTGAGAAATTATAGTTGGCAGAAAATTTTGTTAGTATTTCTGTCTTTCTTGTTTATTGTATTTTTGTCTTATCTTTAAATTAGTATTATTTGTGTATGCTTATTTTTTGTCATACACAAAAATACCAGCAAAGGGCCCAGCTCAGTACCCTACTGGTTAAAGTCCTTGGATGCGCCAGGATCCCATATGGGTGCTGTTTCCTATCCCAACTGCTCCGCTTTCCTTGTTTGGGACCTGGGAAAGCAATAGGGGGTGGCCCAAAGCCTTGGAATTTTGCACCCATATGAGATACTCGGAAGAAGCTCCTGGCTCTTGCCTTCAGATCAGCTCAGTTCTGGACATTGTGGTCACCTGAGGAGCGAACCAAACCAGCAGATGGAAGAACTTTTTCTTTGTATCTCCTTCTTTCTGTAAATCTGACTTTTCAAGAAAAATAAATTTTAAAGAGACCAGGAAACTGCCCAGTGTGGTAGCCTAGTACCTAACGTCCTTGCCTTGCAAATGTCAGGATCCCATATGGATGCCAGTTCTAATCCAGGCAGCCCCACTTCCCATCCAGCTCCCTGCTTGTGGCCTGGGAAAGTAGTCCAGGATGTCCCAAAACCTTGGGATCCTGCACCTGCGTGGGAGACCCAAAAGAGGCTCCAGGTTCCTGGCTTCAGGTATGCACAGCTCTGGCCATTGTGGCCACCTGGGGAGTGAATCAATGGACAGAAGATCTTCCTTTCTCTTTCCTCCTCTCTGTGTACCCTACTTTCAGGAAAGAGTTACATAAATCATACTAGAGTCATATAAATATATACTAGGTAGCAATGAAAAAGAATAAGATGCATTTTATACTTAATTTATGAAGTCATTTTGAAATTATATTTCTATGATTGAAGTGTGTATAAGATGCCATTATTTATGTAAGAATAGAAATGCACACACATATATGAATGTGTTTCCAAATCATTTAAATGGTCATGCATAAGGAATATGAAAAAGTACACAATTTGAAGACAGTCAAGGTTAGAAACCAAATTTTCTGGAGTTTGTTTCCTTCAGAGATTTTGATTTATGAATCATAAATATTTTAAATAAATAAATACTAAACACTATAAAGTTTCTCCTTAAAGACATTATGAAAATAAATTAATGCTGAATCATTGAACATTCGGTGTGACATAGGCTGAGGAGACCTTAAAAAATATTATTTGAGGAAGCCCCAAAACGTTCATGGGAAATTCTTATTTTGCAAAAACTATGCATGTCTTTCAAAATTATTTTACACCAAAATAAACATTTTCAACTCCCCTTTTATGATATTTTCAAGATAATTGTGTGATATATCTTACCAGAAGAAGGTTTAAAACACATTTTAAACTATTTGCTGCCTTGGTGATAGTGAGGCAATCACATTACTTTGAAATTTGACTTTATTGTGTGTAAACGTTAATGGTGATGTTGCATAAAAATAGAATTTTCTGTATATGATGGGAGATCTGCACACAGGAGATTATTGAGGACAAGTAAAATTCAGTGATCGGAATGCATCAGAATAACCATCAGATCCATAATCTTGTAAAATAAGCATCATGTCTGTTAAGCTGCATGATGTATCCATGATAGCTTGATCAAGTTTACATGTTCATTCGATGGTATAATATTAAGATGTGTAAACAGTAGAGGGGAATCCCTTTGAATCAGAGAGGAAATAGAAGAGAGATTTCTGCAAACTAAAAGCAAAGTGAAACTACCTTCCAAGTGGTGTTCCTAGGGCAGCTACAGGAAATAGGGAGAGGAATGCCTTTGTAGAAGAACCCATGTCATCAAGGCAATCATTAGTTTGGATACAGGTTGCAGAAAACTAACCTGTGCTTTCTGAGGACCTTGCAGACTGGGATATCTCAGCATGGATGCTGCAAATCAAAGGCTGAGGGCCTGCAGTTAATACCTGAGATGCACTGCTGCTGCGTAAGTTTTCATTCACTCCCTCCATAGGTATGCGTGTACCATCTCTCTCTGCCAGAAGTTGTTCTAGGTGCTGAAAAAGAAGTTGTAGGCAAATGAAGAAAGGGAGATAACATAATGCAGTGTATTGAGATGTTGACAAGTACTATGGAGAAACATGGTGCTCTTAAGATGACACTGAGGAATCCCAAGTGTGCAGGGTACATGGAACTGCGTGAAGAACAAATGTCAGGAGAGTGGCATGTGCAAGTGACACAGGTAGGAGGGAAAGTACCTTGCTTATTTAAGAAATAACTGGAAGGCCATTCAATGATGCAACAGGGCACATCAAGGGCTTTGGGTAGTGTAAAAAATTAGCATAGAGTCAAGGTCTGATTTTTCAAATGATGCAAGTGAATAATGATTCAGAGTCAAAGACTGAATTGATTTAGAGAAAACAAAATTATAGCTTATTTATATCTGAGTGTGAGGACCATAAATCACAACAATTAATTATAAAAGCTACGGCTAATTTGCTATGCCTGGGGTCAGTAAGGCTGACCCTCATTATAAGCCATTGATGGGGAAACAAATTGTTTTTAAACCCAAGGCTTTTAAGCATGCAGAGACTGTAAAATACTGTCCCAAATCTATATCTTATTTCTTGCTTTGCAATGTTTTTAAAAGTGCAAAAATTTTCAAAGCTCATTAAAATTTTTTTTTCAACTCCTCTAGCATCAATGAGGAATTCAGGAAAATAGTTTCATCAACAATGGATTTTATAAAAACTTTCAGTTAAAATTAGTTATTCTTGCTCTAGCTCTCATTGTATTTCATATGACACTGACGCTTGTCATTTACCAGGATGTAGATATTTAAGTGCATAACAGTCTGTAGTCGCTTCTTGAGGTCTCACTAAATACTAATTATTAAAGATTGTGTCACTAATGTAAAGGTAAAAGAATGATATATTGAAGCTATAAAATATTGTATATTTATGTGTATATAGTTTTCAATGCAAACACCTTTACTGAAGAAAATTCTGCAAACACATATACAGTTTGTGTATTTCAACATCAGTGAACGAAGTAGTGAAACGTGTGCAGCTAGAACTGACACCAAAGAGCCAGACATTCCTAGTACTCTCCACAGTGCCTTTTGCCAGGTGCACAGCCCTGAGCTCCTGGCTTGAGGAACTAATGATGGCAATGTGGTAATACCTACAGGTCGGACTTGCCTTCTGCATTTAGCCTGCAGTTTCTGGAAAAACCCCTTGAGACCAGACAAAACTTCAAGACATCATGTAGGGTTCAGGTGTTATGATGCAGTGGCTTAAGCTTGAGACAGTGTATTTCCATCCCTGCTACTTTGCTTCTGATCCAGCTTCCTGCCTATGCACCTCAGAAGGCAACAAATGAGAGCTCCGCTCCCTGCTGCCCTCTGAAAGACTAGGCTGGGGTTCTGAGAGTCTTCACCTGACAATTGCAGATATTATAATCAATAAACACATTTTTTAAAAAAGGATATTATGTATAGGACAAACAAGTGATTGCATGGTATAAATCGGCTGAGAATAGAAATTCGTTTTCAAAAATTTTGGTTTAGTTCAATTGTGAAGCCATCTGGGCCTGTACTTTTCTCTATTGGGGGGCTGTTTATTACTGACTCACTTCACATTAGTAATTCACTTATTTATGTTTTCTGTCTCATCATGACTCAGATTGTATGTGTTAATCTATCCAGTTCATCTACAATTTCCAATTAATTGCCATATGGCTATTTGCAGTAATTCCAAATGATTCATGTGTTTAAAATTTTTTCTAGCATTTACTAAGCTGTTGATGTTTCAGCTTCATTCCATGGTGGTCAGAAAAGATACATGGTATGATTTCATGTTTTAGTTTGCTGAGGCTTGCTTTACGGCCTAGTGTGCATTCTATAATAAAGTAAGACCCACACACTGATGAACAGAATATATATTCTGCAACTGTGGGATGAAAACATTTGTAGATGTTAAATGGATCATTTCGTCCTTAGTATAGATTTGTTCTGTTTCTTTGCAGTTAAAGTCCCCCTTTCTTATTGTATGAGAGTCCATGTCTCCTTCTAAATCCATTAGCAGTTGGTTTAAATGGCCAGCTGCCCTAACGCTGCAGCCATATACACTTACTAGAGTCACTTCTTTTGTTGAAGTGATCATATGGGTAGGGGATTCATCACTGAGAAAAAAAATCAGAGGTTGTAAATGCAGCCATGCCAGTTAAAAAAACATGAAGGCAGTAAGAAGTATAAATTTCATTAATGATTCTGGTAACCAGAACTTCTAATTTATTAAATCAAAATTATTATCTTACTTTTAATAAGGAAAGAGAGAATCTATCTCTGAATCCACAAATGCCCAGGACATTCTGAGATGTGTCAGGCCACTTGTGCAACAGGAACCCAGCTTTTATGAGCCACTGCTCCCCAAGGTGTGCATTAATAGGATCCTGGAATTAAAACAGAGCTGGGATTCAAACAGCCACTTCCAAATGGGACAGGGCATCTTACTGAACTCCTTCACTAAATACCAGCCCTTGCTGGAACTCTTAAATGGGAACTAAAATGAAAGATTTTCTTATAAATATTTCCCTTTATGTGTTCATTTAAAAATGTCTAATTTTTCTACTCACTAGGCTTTAGATTTGATTAAAAGCAATAAAGAGGGAATTGCTTTAAATAATTTAGTAGGATTTTCTAGTCATTTAAATGAAAATCTAAAATGGCAACATATTTCATCTACTTCTATTTCAAGATATTTCTGTAGTTAAATTAATAGTTTTATGACTAAATACAAAAGAAACCAGTTGAACAACCAAGAACATGCTTGTAAACGAAGAAATTAAAGTTATTTTAGTTTGTGATATAAGGATTGATACAGCAAAGAAATCAATGGGCATTTCATAGGAGATATTAGGGAAAGGTAATTTTAGAATTTGGTAGACTTAATTCAATAAATTTTGCATTGTGTGACACCCAGTAAAGCAGTTTGAGTTACTTACACCCCATACTGGGGTGCCTATTTCAGCTCTGTGTTCTCTGTGCCAGTCCAGTTTCTTAAAATGTACACCCAAGGAGATGGCAAGTGATGGTTCAAGTATTTGGGGCCTTGGCACTCATGAGGGAGAACTGGATAGAGCTCCTAGATTTTGACTTCAACACTGCCTAAGCTTGGCTGTGTGGGCATAGGGGAATTGAGGTGGTAGTACATGGAAGATTAATCTCTCCTCTCTCTCTCTTCATCTCCTTCCTCTCCCTCTGCTCAATACCAACCAAGAAACATATTTTATTTCCTAGAGTACCAAATATTGACAGTATAACAGTATAGAAGATTAGCAGTATATATAAAGTAAAATACTTACATGCAATTTCCTTGGAGAGGTTGATGTATTTTGCAGGTAGTAAATCAGTTTCTTTTATAAGTTGTGCCTTCCATGTAAATTCTCACCACTGTCCCCAGGCACACGTGGTTTCACTGTGAGCTTCTCCTTCAATAATCTCTGAATAATTTTTCAGGAAAATCCAAAGAAAAGACCATCTTCTAGAAATATGATCAATACAAATAAACATCATTCAGTACTACTAATTTTATACCATGTAAATAAAGGCAATATTTTGATTCCCCAAGAAGTATTTACTTCTTGTTCTTTTAACATGATTTTTAATCTGGTTTGATACTAAGTGCATATAACCAGTTATTATCTGTGATAAGAATATTGGGAGTATTCTAATTCCACAATTGTGGACTTATGTAATAGTTTAGAACCTTGTCAGATTGAAATTTTTAAAAAAAATACTTTCAAGAGTGTTTAAAATAAGCAGGCACTGGCATAGCAGCAGTCTTGCCCTTTTGTTCTTAAGCAAAAGCACTTTATTCCATTCTACCATGGCTTTTCCATATCTTCTTTTCCTAGGGGAAATTTACTTTTTATTTAAATAAGTTATTTTTATTGGAAAGGCAGATGCACAGAGAGGAGGATCCTCTAGCTGCTGGTTCATTCCCCAAGTGGCTGTAGTAGCCATAGCTGAGCCGATCTGGAGCCAGGAGCTTCTTTTGGGTCCTCTGCATGAGTGCTGGATTCCAAACCTTTCCCAGTCTACAAGCAGGGAGCTGGAAGGGAAGTGCAGAGGCCAGGATACAAATCAGCACCATAGAGGATCCTGGGCATGCAGGGGTATGGTTTAGCCACTAGGCTATCACACCAGGCACAGATAATTTGCATCTAAAGTATGCCTGGAGAACCTAAACTAACACAGGTTTTGGATTGCTTGCTTGCTTTTAATTTTTTTCTGTTGAAGAACAGTGTTTGATTATTCAATACTTTCTTAGATAAATCTGTGAATGTATTACTGTGTCAGTTGAATATTTTCTACTGAAAGGTCCTTGAATGAAGGGAAAATGAAGAGATTTAGACTCCCTATCACTTTAATGGCATGTGATGGAAGACAAAGACACTGAAATGATGTGTCTGAAAAACAGAATGGTCCCTGTTCTAGCACCTATACTTATCTTCCAGAGAGAAGGAGGTGAACCACTCCAGAAAAGTAGGTCTTAAACAGAGTTGAGGTTTGGTGAAAACAGCACATGAAGTGCACCATTTTCAGCATTTGTGAAATGCAAGGTAACTTTAGGGGGGCAGTGACATGTAAGCCAGCAGCACTCTATGCTATGAAATATCATGAGCAAGGTACAAGAAGAAGGTACAAGAGGCTGCATAATTCTATAATCATTCAAAACTGAATAAACTCATATAAATATTCAACAATTTTTTGTCTTAGTTTTCTGAAAAAATCAGATACTAAAACCTATTGATTGTGAATTTGTGTGTATAGCATATTACTATAGACTTTATTTCATTCATTACACAGATATACCCAGAACAGTACCCACTCAATGATGATGAGCAAAACAAAAGAAATCCCTGTAGTTTATACTCTAGGTAGAGAAGGAATCCAGTGAAAATTTCACAGCAGTAAAACAGAAGATAGAAATTAAGGGGATGTGATGAAAGAAAGATTAGAAGATGTTTTAGATTTCCAGGCAAGGCTGTCAGGATGAGAAGATCTTAAGGCAAACCTGAATGATATGAAAGATCTAATCAAGTCAGATTAGGGTGATGAGACCACCAGGCAGAAAGAACACAAGTGCAAAATCCTCAAACTAGGCTTAAGCTTGGCTATACTTGAGTAATAAGATAGACAAGGATGGCCAAACTGCAGCAGAACTATGTGCATGGTCCTACCAAATAGTACGTGGTCAGTATAATACTTGTCATTTGCTTATGAACTTGTAAAGGGAAAAGCAACAAAAACACAGCCTGGGACAATGGATTTATTACTGTCTGTATAATAATGGCTATGGAATGTAATAGTATCAGTTAACATTCAATTGCACTGCCTGATTATCTGATGAAAGATATCAATATCGATTACGAACAAGTCATAATAAAGTCTCAAAGTATTTAAGCTGTGTCCAGTTTACCACAGTTAGACATACGTGAAGTAGCCTCACCTGACCTCAGCAGGGTCTCACCATGGCTGGACACAGTCTCTGGCTAGTCAAGTCTCTGCTCTTCCTCCACAAATGGCCATGCGTGAAAGAATATTATGCATATTCTCCTTGGTATCATCAACCAAATGCTAAGGGCTGAGAAGCAGATTTTTTTTAAGTATACAAGAAATAACTGGCATTAAATAATTAAAATATGCAATTACAGTTCTACATTATACTTATACTTTTTAAACATAGCTAAATACTGTACTTACCATAGTTAAATACTAATTTTTGTTTTCACTAACGAAATCAAACTTGAACTCCAGTTCTTCTTCTTATAAAAGATAGCATAGTCCATTTTAAAATATCTAGTTTGTACTTTAAAGTAACATAATTACTATTAAATCTATTCCAATGTGTATCCACTTTAGATAACATACTGTTTAAAAAATATTTCCACAATTTTAACTTTATAAGATGTTAAATATTTTTCTACATAAAGAAATGGAAGTTAACTGAGTTGCAAATGCAATATATGTTACTTTTATATTAAAGAATGTTATATAATTTATCATTCTTAAAATAGTGGATGCGACTCACAGATTTTTGTGGTTATATAATTTTTCATCCAGGATAATAAGGGATCTTAATTTTAAAAAGCTCATAATATACTTAATAAATGTATAAATACTCTTGCAGTCATTTGAATAGATAGGAAGCACTGTAATTTCTGTGTAACTAAAATATCAATAGTAAAGACAGTGAAATTTTTCCTTTCACGGAACAGAAAATATAAAATAATCTCAATGTAATTTTAAAACTATGAAACAACTGGAGAATCAATCATGAATCCTATGAATTGTGTTAAAAACTTTTCGGGCATGCCTGTAAACTATCAAGCACGTAACTGTACGAGCCACATTGTCTTATAATTGGTGACAGTAGTCAAAGCATATTTATGTTGTAAGCTTATCTCAATGTTGATTGTAGTAGCAGAAACATATTGTTTCACTGTTATATAGCAAGTTTTTAAATCTTAGCATTATTTACATTATGAATGAGATAACCCTCCACTAAGATCCCTCCCTTGTTTAGCAGGATCTCTATCTTTATTCAGTAAAAATTGCATGGTTATTCCCTCAAATTATGAAATTCAAAATGACTTTTAAGTATTGCAAAATGATCATTGGAGATAAAATTTCCTTTGGATGTTAATTATAGTTATTAAGCATTCCATTATTGAAATATATACTTTATTAGTACTCAGTACTATACTATAAATTAGTTTGATTGGAATTTTGATAACAATACAAGTTTATCCAACCATATATGCCTTTACGGTTCTTAACCTGTCACTGCACACAATCAGAATTGTAATAGCTTCCTGAAATATTATGCTTAATTTTTTCCTCACCTTAAAACCCACTATTGGCATAATATATGCATCATATAGAATTATAAGTTGGAAATTATTTTTTGCAGCACTTTATAAAAACTATTCTTTGACGATCCTGCTTTAACTGCTTCTGGTAAAAACTCAGCTGCCGCTGGGTTTACAAAAGTCATGTTCATCTACACCACTTCAACATTTTAATCTTTACCTCCTTTTCAAGTAATTCCATATACGATACTTAGGAATGATTTTATTTATAAAAAGAGAACAAGTTTTATGTATTTCAAATAAATAGTTTTAAGAACTGCTACCCTTCCTCCTTTCCTTATTTTCCTTTTAATTTTTACAGTGACATATTTTCAATTGCATTTATAACTACAAGGTTAATTCAACAAAAAACTTAAGTAACAAGCAGAAAAATCACTGTTACTAAAGTGTATATATAAGAGCTATAAATCACAAAATTTCCATTACTTTCATACACATGAGACTTTATTACAGCCTGTGTTTTAGTTACCACAAATGGAGGTAAACCTTATCTTTTGGCTCATGTCACTAAGCATAATGATTTCCAATTGAATCCACTTTGTTGCAAAAGACAAGATTTGATCCTTTTCATGGCTGAGTAATATTTCTTTGCATCATAACTTAACCAAATATAATCACTTGATGGACGTCTGGATTGATTCCATATCTTAGCTATTTTGAATTGAATAGCTAAAACATGGGAACACAGATAATGCATTCATATGTTGATTTAATTTCATTAACTTTCCAGGGGTGGAATGGCTGAGCCACCTAGACTTTCAAGTTTCTGAGGAATCTGTATACTGTTTTCCAGAGTGGCTGTGCTATTTTACATTCTGACCAGGAGTGTACTAGAATATCTTTTCCTAACATACTTACTATTTGTAAAATGCCTGTACGTATCCTTAGCCCATTTCTTAACTTTTCTTGCTGTGTTGTTGTTGAGTTTCTTAAACATCTTACATATTGTGGATATTTACCCCTATCAGATGCATGGTTGCAAATATTTTCTTCCACACTTTTTGGTTGCCTCTTTGAGTGTTTCTTTTTCTGTGTAGAAGCTTCTTGGCTTGACATAATCCCATTGTCTATTTTTTTGCCTTTATTGCCTGGGTTTTGGGTATCTTATCCAAGAAATCTTAGCGAAATCATTGCAAAACACTGACAAAAGGTAATAATTTGATCATTTCAGGGCTGAGACTTAGATCCCAAATCCACTGAGTTGATGTTACTACAGAGTATAAGATAGGACTTTTTTTCATATTTTATGCATGCAAAATTTGTTGAAGAGACCATCCTTTTTCCAGGAAGTGACTCTGGCTGCCAGTCAAAGATTATTGGTTACAGATTTGTGGATTAAATTCTGTGACTAAATTCTATTCCATTGATTGATGTGTCTGTTGTTGAGACAATACTAACCTATTTTGGTTATACATGCTCAGTAAAATATATTGTGCTGCTTCCAGCTTTAGTTTGATTGTTTAGGTTTGCTTTGGCTATCCATGGTCTCTTGTGATTCCATATGAATTTTAAGGTGATTTTCTCTTTTGTATTCTGACTGGAATCACAATGAATATGTAAATTGCTTTGGGTAGTATGGATATTTTAATTACACTAATTATCCCCA